AAACGCAATTGTTACTTGCCTTCAACGACGTCTATCCACGCGTGATGGCAGACTGACCCTGCATGCGTAGAGTTATCGCTGAAGGCTCATACGGTGCCCCTGAGCGCCATCCGTAACGCGAGCCCCCGACACACCACAACACACAGCACGATCATCTCTGTACCTCAAACGTATCCCACCACTTTCAACACTTACCATCTTGTTTTTACACATTACGAAATGCCACAACTTATCACCATGAGCACATCCTTCGCTCTGATCTGCTCAAAAAGGAGCGTGTCCCATTTTACAATCACCTATAATTGTTTTTCACACTACGGTCGTTCCAGCTCATATTGTCTGATTACCTACCTGCTACGTAAACATGTGACAACCTTTAAACAAACAGTCGATTTGAACATGTAACTTTATATTTTGTTACAGGCAACCATACAAATGTTCTCCTGCAAACTATCCTGTTTTGCACTTTGCCAGCCCTTTTCAAAACATGATCACCATCATATTGCCTATTAACTAGCCAACGGCGGCAAAAGTGCAATGACACTTTACCTCGTCATCGTATTCTTACTCTGCATATATCCACAAAACATGTTCAACAAATATGTGCTGTCTATTTTGCGTTTCATGAAACATGCAAAGCAGTCAGGGATAGTCACTCACTGCCTGCTGTTCATACGGATGCGGAAAATACAACCGAGTCTATCTCATTATATCTCTCCACTCCAACGGTGAACCCATTAATCTGAGCCCAGTTTTATGGGACAAATTCGAACCAAGCACAATCACCACATACTGTTGACATCCTTTTCATCTAACAACAAAGTACATCATATCAAAACCAGATGCATCTTAGCTTTTTATTCAACACACTATTAAGGGCCCAACCACTCAGCCCCAAATAACACAAGAAAAATACAAAAACATGCATGTACACAAACAACAGACTTGGGGCCTTACGGAGGTTCTTAAGCGAGGCGGTGTTCAACACTTCAGCGCACAGTTTCAATACTCTATTTCAAGGACTCAGCCTCGCCTGATCTAAAGTCTTCTCTCACTTATAATGTGATGTTCAATAATACTTTTCAAAACAACACAGGCTTAAACTGCCTATTTATCACAAGCTCAAAAGACAACCAGCACGCACTGTTTTCGATAAATTAGCCTACTCCTAGCAATAAGGGCTCAATGAAACGACTCAGCGGCACAAGTTCAAGCCACACAACGGAAAACCACAGTTCCATTCATCAATATTTCACGTCCTATCCCTTACCCATCTCACCATCCCTCATCTAAGTAGATTCGGTACGGAGCGTCACTCTCCCAGACACACTACACCTCACTTCCTCTCTCACACTTCTCACACACAGCACCACCTATCGATTTCACACCGCTAACTCCTTCTTCTATCTGCCCTTCCCTCCTGCAGCTGTCTCTCTCCACGGATCGACAATAGGCAACAGGAGTGTATACATAATACTCCTCTTCCGTTAAACACTCGACAGGAACATTACTAACTCTCAATCTCGTCACTCATTCAGGATCTTGTCGCATCATGTAACTTCTTTCGCAACAACAACACCAGGATCTCCATCCGGCTCCGAACCGATACCTCCGCAAAGCTAAGCTTCCCCCTCCATCAGACCACCGGGCACACCACCACCATGAAGCCGCCCGACTCTGCGCTTGCATGACTGGGGCTCTGTTACCGTCGAGGTCCTGCCACTTCCTCCTTCACTCCCTCTACTAGCACGACCGGGCATCTCCGCACGCCCAGATTCCACTCCACATTCCAGCTTCGGGAGACTACCCCGGACCACAGTCTCCGGCCACTCACACACACACACACACAGGAGAACACGGTCCCCCAGAGAAGTCTAGCAGCTCCAGCCAGCTCACCACACCGAGAGATCACAGACACACGAGCGACAGCCAGAAGCGCGGCGCCAGCACGCGTGGAGAAACAAGACCAAGGATATAGCAGCCGAGTACACTCCAACAGCCTCGCTCGTCCGAACAACACCCACCCGACTTCCCAGGACACCCGTATCCACGCGATTCCGACCAGCACCTACGGACTACACAGCACCGTGATAATCTCATTGCCGTCATCGGATCATCTACTGCGTCACATAGCAGTACACCCTTACGCAACCACAGCCTGACAAGCTCTAGGCCAACGTCTCCTCTTGTCCTTGCTTAACTCGCACCGGCCTACACCACGGCCTCCAGCTCCACTGGAAACACGGGCTCTGCTGGATTTCACCTCCTTCCGGCGACAAGAGCCGCGCACGTTTCGCGGACTACTCACACCAACAGGTTACACGCAGAGCTGTATCATCCGCGCGTCACGCACGTATCACACGAAAGGATCGTGCACTCTAACATCACCCAAGCACGGTCAACTCCCTCCCACTCCGCTGGCTTCCGCCCGCCTCCGCTGTCCTCCTCCTTCAGTGGCTGATGCGTTTCTCTCAATCACTCATCACTTTCTCCCAAGCCGCATGACCAATTTACCTCACCAGCCACACTCACTATATGACGCGCAAATTCTCGACCAGCGGCAAGACATACTATCAATCTCCGTACAGCGCTCTAAATTCTTGCCCATTCACACCGGCAGCGCGACATAGATCCAATTGGACACTCGAAGAAGCACTCTCTCTCTCACTGTCGCTCTCCTATTCCGATCCCAACCGGCGTCGCACTCTCAGAAGAACTCAGCCAAGTAGCAGTTTACTGCGCGGTGGCGGTCGGGTCGTTCGGAACTGGTTTCTGTTCTCTCGAGGGTTACCGGTGACAAGTCTGAAGGCATCTGATATTGCATGCGTCTCGTATCTATGCCACACAGGAATCCACGCACGATACTGTACTTAAAACTACGGCAAAGATCGCCGCTTTTCCTACTTATTCAAGAAAGTTTATTTCGGACGCAAGACGCGCGGCACTTCGATCATCTTGCCCCCGGACACGCGACACGGTCAGCGCAACACCAGCTGTTATAGGAACCTGAGGTGCAGCATAAAAGCCACAGATACTATTGCGATACAAAATATGATCGTCATTGAGGAGGCTGTTACTTCTGTCCTTCTGTACTAAAGACACACGTATATCAACTAACATCAGCGAACTAGAGTCCTTACTTATTAAATCGCTGCATCTCTCTCTCTCTGGTTGCTGCCTCCTATCGGTTTTGTCTGCATGGCCTTGTGTCTTGGTTCATACCGTTCCTCGGTGGAGGTTGATCCGTGTCTGTTTTTACTGCAGGTCGTTGCAGCTCTCGTCTCCATCGGTTAAACGGTGCAGCGTTCACGGTTCGGCTACATTAACAGGTAGTCCACTCAAGGAGAGCGATGCTGACATGCTCAACAGCATGATGAAAGCCCAGCAGCAGCACGAGAACACTGGTCGAATACCGGCCAATCACATCGACACGCTGCACATCGAATGCGTGGTACTGTCACAGCGACAAGC